ACCACCACCACCATTAACCACTCACACACTTTGATTCACTTGGGCAGGGTTCTCTGATGTTTTGAGCTAGTAGGTGCATTCTGAATTTTGACAATGTTGCGTTTTCTCCCACCAAATGACTTAGAGAGCAGGGACAGAAGCTTATCCCTGTAGAAACTCCCTGCCTGGCCCAAAACACTATTTCCCAGCCAACAAACCAGTGAGATTAAAAGAGAAGGTAACTTGCCCATGAACCTAATCTCCAGGCAGAGCTCCAGAATGCAATGCCCCTTTTTTGAACTCACAAATGTTCTTTCCCAGGAGAAGCTCAACTGAGGATCCTTACAGTGAAGGAACTTGGCCAAGAAAGGCTGAGTCATGAATGCCAAGTCACATATTTACCTCCACAAAACTAACGGGAAATGACCCCTTTCAGTAGAAGGTATAAGAGCACATCTTCCCAACAGAAGGCAGCTTTGGGCCTTTTTACATGCATCACCTCTGCAAACTAGGGACTTACATCAACCCACCAGTGTTAAAAGGCTTGCAAAAGAACATAAAACTTAGTTTAGTTCTGTGCTTTAAAATAACTAGAGTTTAATGGAATTACAGCAAATGTATATTTGCAGTTATCAAGTTATTTGTCTCTCTCTATATAAATATATGCATCCTTCTGTACAACATTAAGAAGGTTGCTGGGGTGGCAAAACAAATGAGAAAAAGATGCTAACAATGGTTTATAAAAGTAAGAAAATGTTTCTGGAATACATCTCCCCAGTCCACATCAAAGAAGTACCAAAGTAATCCAAAAACAATTTGGGAGAATGTTTCATCTACTTCTGCTAGGATAAAGCAAACATAACTGTTTACATTTTTCTCCTACAAAATAATTCAAAATGCACAGCCTTATTTCCCCCCTGAAACTTTTATGAATAAACTTCCCTCCATCAAGCATTTAAAGCCACTTTGCAAAGCATGTCTCTGACCAGCCAAGAATCTACCCTGAAAAATTGCATCTACCCCTGTATTGGGAAAAGGGATCTGCAGTCCCTAAAAAGACCATTTAAACTGCTTTAGCTTCCTAGAAATGCATGCATGCATGCATGCAAGCAAGCATGTATGTATCTTTGAGTGGATTCCGATGACCAATGAGCAGTTTATATTTGGCTTGGCTTTGCTGTCATCATGATTATTCCACAGATGTCTAAGCCACCGCTATCACCTGACTCTCAGGTGTCTACAGGATCCTAATTATACACATCAATCTCAAATGTTCAAATGTCCATGGTACACAGACACAATACCAAAATCCAAACCGACCACCTTATTGGAACAATATAAACATTCCTATTGCATTCTGTCAACTACCTAAAAAAGCCCCTCTGAAAGGCCTCCCATCTTAACTTGCTTCCAGAAGACCAAGGACATGGAATCAATCTAGCTTCCCAGGATGGCTGTTCCAGATCATATGGGCCATCATGGAGAAGCACGGGGAAGGCTTCATAGAACTTTCAGAGCTTATCATTATTCCCAATGTTCTGGGAATTTCACACTAATGCCATGAAATGTGAAAGTAACTTTTCTGAGGCTTACTGCATTATCAGTAGCATCTTTTACAAATGTTATTTTCTTTTAACTTTAGCTACTATACCTGGAGTCTCATAAATCAGAGTACAGGTAGTCCACTTTTAACAATGCTAATTGGGACTGGAAACTGTTGTTAAGTGACATGTAATTCAAAAAACCACATGAGCACCAGCCATTTCCAGCAGTCCTGGTTGCTGTTGTTAAATGAGGACTGTGCAGGTCATTAAGTGAGGACCTCACGTGACCATGACTTGTGACTTACTGCTGGCTTCCTAATTGACTATGCTTGTGGTAAGCCAACAGGGAAAGTGGCAAATTGTATCACTTTACCACAGGATGCTGCAATGGCCGAAAGTTCAAGGTCTGGTTGTAACTACCACTCGTTCAGCTCCGTCGTAAGTTTGAACGGTCACTGAATGAGTGGTCATTAAAAGAAGACCACCTGTAGTTACTGCAGATGGAGCCAACTATGAATATGTCCATTCTGTCGATCTGCTGTGAATGCTGGAAACAAGGCCTGATTCAGTTTTATAGCTACAAGACAAAACTGTTTACACACATGCAGACCAGAGAATATATTGAAAAATACTTCACTTTAACTAGAAGATTAATGAAAGACACTTGTGTGAATACCTATGTAACATGTATCTGCCTTTCATTAACTAAGAGCCACAAGAGCTTGCGGCCTGATGAGATAACCTAGAAATTACATGCTTGTTGTTTGTATTTTAGGGTATGTTCCGCTTAGTTGCAGGGTCCACTTCTTTTATACTACACTTGCCTACTTCTTACAGTGAAACGTATCAATGCACAGTGTAACAAGATCCCACACCACCCCCAACTGGCTTGTCTGCAGAGTCTGACACAGATTAGAGCTGAAAGGGAGTGATTGTCCCAAGGTTGCCTAGCTGGCTTCTGGGGTTAAGGGAGGACTAGAACCTGGGTCTCCCCAATCCTAGTCCAGCACCTTAACTGCTACATCATGCTGGCTCTCCCTAGAAATTATATTCTTAAACCTGATAAATCTCTTTGGGAGGAATAAGACTAAGGGTGTGCAGCATCAGCCCTTTGATTGGGTAGGCAACATTAAGAAATTCAATTTTCTGTATCAGGCTTTTACAGTTTAGTAGAAGAGTGCATGTTGCACATGTAAAAGGTTTCAAGTTATATTCCCAGTGCTCCAGAAAGGGATGGGAAGGGTAAACTGTGGGGAAGTAAGCTGGTACCTTCCAGGTGCTTTGGACTAAAATTCCCAAAATTCTTGGGTCACTTACAATGCTATCTCACACTAACTGGAATTGATGTTCAAAACATCTGGAGAGCACTGTCTTACCTCTTCTTAATTAGATGGACCACTGGAGCTATATTTCCATACCATCAACCGGAAGTATTCATAGCTCTGGATGGTTCTTAACAACAGCCCATATCTATCTGTTAGATGTGGCAAATAATTAATGAATCAGGAGGTTGGAAGTGCGACTCACAATATGGATCACAACATGGCTCCCAGAAGTTCTTGACAAATGAAAAAAATGGTTTCCATAACAATCAGCAAAATAGTTGTGCCACCCTTACATGGTCTGTTTTATGGTGCAATAAGCTCTTTTTTCAAGTGCAGGATAAACATGTGCAGACAACATTCTTTCTCTTCCTGCTCAACCCTTTTCGTGCTGTACATTTCTGACCTGCGCATTTCGGCTCCATCTCTCCTCCACCCACTGGATTAATGTCATTTTCCAGCAAATCTCTTCAATCGAGAATAGCCAGGCTGTGATCGTAACCACGGCTGGCAGATTCCTCTTTCATCTCTCACCAAGGAGATCAAACATGCCAATATGGATTTGCAAAGCTAACTGAGACAGAGAGGAAATGAGGCTTTCCCATCATATATACCAGGCAGGGGCTCTTTGCTTACAGCTTACACAAGCAAGAAAAAGAGAGAGGCTAATCTCAAGGGAACTGATCAAATGTGCTTAAGCAACTCATTTCCTGCAGTTTCACCTTCTCTCATTCCAAGTAATTATTTGCATGGTACTTCTGCTGTGCAATTCCACTGTAAAGTTAATCACCAGAGCTACATTTCAAGTGCTGTTAAACCCACTAAGAATAATTTAAGCCACTGGTACAGCCTACTTATCAAAGACTGGGGTTGGGGGGGGAGGGTTAGTTCTTTGTGGACTCTTACTTGAAGTGAATGCCTGAAATACAACAGAAGTTGATGGTGCTAATTTTATTTTGCAAATTCCATTTAAATCACACCAATTCCATCCTCAGCTAGTCCTTTATTAATCCCTCTTTGTTGTTCTTCTGTTTTGACTGGAAAGGAATAAACAGAGAGCTTGGTAGAAGAGCATATACTTTGCACTCAGAATGACTGGGCATCTTTAATGAAAATGATCTCAGATAACAGGAGATGGAAAGAGCTTGGTGAGACACTGTTCATTAGAAAATACAGGGCTAGAGGGAGGAGACAAAACTCATATACAGCAGGTTCTAACATTCGTTCTAACAAGTCTCAAAACTACAGCCTTTGCTATTTTCTCCACATGATCTCTTTATCCTCTCTGAAGCAAATGTCATCCCTCAACAGAACAAATTTATTTAGAACGTGGCAATTGTTGATCCACAGGAGGTCTGAACTCGCTTCCTTCCAGATACCTTGGTTTACAAATCTCATAATCCCTAGGAGGCATGGCCAACAGGTGTGGTAGGTCAAGATATCTGGAAGGCACCATGTTAGATGGGTAGTTTAGACCAGGGTTCCTCAACCTCAGCAACTTTAAGATGGGTGGACTTCAACTCCCAGAAT